GGGGGGCGAGGAGGGAGGCGGAGGAGGGGAGGAAAGGCCCATCGCCTATGCTCTGGATCCGCTTATACTTATAATTTTCCGAATTAAGAAAACATTTTTACCATAGACACGATTGTACGATCAGTGTAAGCTCACGTTTGTCAAATGTTTTAGTAATTTGCCACGGACCCAAAATTCTAATATCGGATCGATTCCGTTCGGTTCTGCCGAAAAATTTCTCGGTACTCGCTCATGATTCCCGTTTCTACTACGCAGGATTTATCTGGCATGTGCTATACTTTAATGACATGCACCGGACTTAACACAATCTATACCTGTTCAGATCCAAATCAGGTGCGCATACCGAAGCTTGGCTCCTCCGTTTGCTTTCCTATTACAGTGTTATATGTCGCATAATAATTGTTGTCTCCAGCGTGAAAAGTAACCTGGCGCATGGCTCGAAGCAGTCGAATTCACAATTGCCGATCCTGATTTCCATCCACTTATCTTCGTCGTATGGCTCACACTCATCGATGACAATACTTGGCCGGAAATGTCTGGTTGTTGCCGGTACACCATCAGATTCAGAATGACTGTTCAGATTGTTTAGAGATTCCTGGTTTATTGAAATGTACGGTGTTAACCGTACGCACTGATTCTGGAAGGATGCGTTTATTTTTAGACGGATCTATCCAGAAAAACTTCGTATTTGTGCAGCTGAATTGTCAGTTGGGGCACTACTTATTTTAGCAGTTTTAAAATGATAACCTGATATTGGCTCCATGCATTCAAGCACTTTCCCAGGATACTCGGCTGTGCAGCCAATCCGTCGACACAGTAAAGAAGCTTGACTGGTGCGACAATCTGCAGCGTCCGAGTGCACCATTCCGCTGCTGCTGTGCCGCAGTCCAAACCTGATCGTTTCACATTCTCACACAAACTGCAAGTTCATCCTCTCCTGCGCGTTTTCCACGCTTTCTATTAACGTATTTCCCCTACTGTGCTACAATATTGTACGAGAACGATGGAGTTTTCTAAGGAATTCAAACAACAGTATTGCCATGTGTCAGTAACGGCTTTTACTTTGGATGCTGTGCTTGCCTGGAACCACTAGAAGAGCCAGTACGGCTCTTTTTGTCTGCCAGCATATTTTTTTCTGACAGGACCCAGAAGTGTACAAATTTTAGAAACGAATTTTGAGGCAGAAAAAAATGGTAGGCGGCTGTTTTTCAGTACTGGACAGAGATTTCGTCTCGGAAAAGAATGGACCGCCTGAGACCAGCACAAGTTTCTTTCGTCTTCTGAGCAGTAAAACTTAATTAAATAGTGCTCACTGCTAATTAAATAAGTTTGATAAATTTTTTATTCAACTGCATTTCTTACTGCCATCCCGCATGTGTTAGTTAAGTAAATGGCCACTTACTTGTACGTTATAATTTTGTTCTCCTTAACAACTTTGTGAATGTTGACACGAATTGGAGTACTCTCGGGTGTAGTTAGCGTAAGCACTCCATCGGTTACGTCACAGTCAACAAGGACCAATCGTGGATGCGTTAATGCGGTAATCATTGCCTTTGTACGCATATCCACCATTACAAAATGACGCTCCTCCAATTCTTCGTGCTTCCCTCCATACTCTTCACAAATCATGGAATTTACCTTGAAATACGACTGTTATTTTTTGACTTCGGCTAATACAAGGAAGCACCATTACACTCACAAAAAAAAAAATTCGAAGCAGTGGCAGGTGATGAAAAATTTCTTGATAGGCGCAAGCCGTAAAATTAAGAAACACAACTTTTAACTTCGGATGGAATTTAAAGCGTTCTAGACACCTACTACCCAGTTTGCTTTCAAGGATTGTACAACTTCGTTGAATCTCGACTGTTCCCAGAATTTGAACAGAACAGTTAAGTACCTGCCGACCACGGCATGACTCCAACGGATAAATGTAAAGTTCGGACACTTGTCCCACAGTCACATATGGATGTTTGCGGTCTTTGATGTACTGTCGCACAAATTTTGCTGTGTAGTGCAATACAACAGCACTAGTGGCACAACTTGCCCCGAGAATCAACCATTCTTTTCGACTCAGACCCATTAGCTGCAGTAATTTTCGTTAAGCCACCTGCAATAAACTGATTTTAGCGAACGCGCAATTTCCAAATTCTAATTTGTTTCTGCGAACGAGTGAAGTAATCAAGACGGCCACAAAGTTAAGCAGCTGTATAATTCAGCAAAATGACTAGTGGACAACAACGTTGCTTCTGTGATGAAATATTCATAGCATTAAGGGGAATGCATGAAAAATAAGTTGCACTTCACCGTCAATGTCGCTTTGATCCTCTGCAGTATCCCACACCCTAGGGCTCGCAAGCCACTTCTAGATTGTTAAGTATAATCAGATGAATTAGCCACTTCTTTTTAAACGCCGCTTTTTTTGGTTCCATTCATAAGCGACTTAAAAACATTATCCTTACTTCGGATAAGATGTCAGCAAGCAGAAAAGTCAAAAAATCGAAATCAGGTTTTTAGCACTGTACACCAATATAGACAAAATTTCCTGACTTTCAGCTCCCAAAATCAAATAAATATTTATTTGTTTGTTTATTTGCTTGCCTATTTCTTCATTTATACGTCTTTTTATCTAATTATTTGATAGCCCTAGCACATTTTCATGTTTTTTTCATCACATGTTTATTTTTATGCATGCAAGATTCAGACATAATCAAAAGAAATGTACAGCAGTAGATCCGTCATAACCAGTTTATGCAAGACCCGTATATTTCACAATTACTGAGATGGAACTTGAAAGCAGAAAAGACGACTCTTCTGTTGGGTTGCATTTCGGGTAAAATTATCAAAATTGGGGGTACACTCTTCTTTCCTTTCTTTGCTCTCCTCCAGAGTGTTCAGTTGTGAGGAGCTCGATGTGCAGGACAAGGTCTGCCTGGATTTAGACACTGCCCAAGATTAATGGGAGTGCCGTTTGAACCTACGAAGATCCATGGTATACATCTTGAGTTGGGCACACTAAAGCAATTTGAACAGCTGGATACAAGTAATATTTTATGGGTGTTGTTCAAACGAGCACTACGACACAACGTGCACGCAGTATGGAATAGTTTTCCTTTGTTAATAACTTTTCACAAAGCGATACTTAAAGCGGAGTGTTAGCACACAATAACAGGATAGGGAAGGGAAACAGCTCTTCTGCCTCGGTGCTCCATAAAAGCCATTCCTGCGGAGGAAAAAAATGTGGGAAATTAAACTTAGGCGAAGGGCGTAGGGGCTATCCTAAAAAGTGTGAAAATTTATTGGAAGGACGCGAAAACTCATTATCGGGACAAATTTGCCAAACAGTACCGGCATCACCTGGAACCTATTGAATTATATTAAAATGTCTAAACAAACAGGTAAAACAAAAAAAAAAGACGTAAAGGAAACGCGGAAATAGAACTAAACCATTTTGGACCAAAAAGTTCAAAACTGACCCTGACCACACGTATCGAAATTTGCTTACACTTTTGCATGCATATAATTTTTGCACATACACCATTTTCTTTTTTTCAAAAACCGTTTGTATTCATCAAGCATGGTAAAATCTTCAGAGAAATTCCTATTTTTAAAGAAGTAAGCTAGCGGCAGCACTGAATGGCGCTCTGCTGCTATGAACAGCTTCGAATTTTTGTGCAGCGAAGAATTGGAGTGATGGACGAATGGCACACTGGAAGCGGTGCGAGTGGAGGCAGCCGGCATGATGCTCCTGGTTCCAGCCGGGAAGCAGTGCCGCTGCCTGTTACTGGCTGATCAGCACTTTTGTTTGTTTGTACGGCTGAGTAATGGTCGATTGCACTTACCAAGATCTATTGAGCGACTGCTCCTCCGAAGTATCCCATTGATCCAAGCTTTTTCGTGATCGTTACCATAGAGACACTTTTTTTCTGTCATAAATGAAACTGAGCCGGGATTTTCTCACTGCTTGCATGTGTGTTTCTGCGTTCGGCTGATTTAAATCAGCAAATCAACAGTGCAGCCAGGTTTTCTATGGATCATGATCCAGGTGGTGGTGGCATGGTGGCTGCTTGGAAGAACAGGTGGAGGAATACTTTTTATAAATTCTCGAATAAACCAAAAATCATTATAATGTGTGTGGGTGGGACACTGTGTGTGGTTTATGTCCGGGATAAATAGGCATTAGGAATATGAAGGCGAAAAATTCGGAATCTTAGAATAATCATAGGCAGTAAAACCAGCTTCTCCCACGTTTTAACTGAATTATAGCATTAGTCCAAATATGGGCCTATATGCGAGATTTGGAAGTGTTGGGAATTTAACTCGACAGGACGGATAAGCAAAAACCAGCGTCTAGACTTTTCTGCATCTTAATTCACACTGACCTCAAGCCCAAATCCAGGCTACTTTTTGTGTGAGAGTCAAAGAAACTACAAAATATGGATTTTTTAAACGACTAACTTTTCAAAATGATTCGGATGGAACAGCTTAAAATCCAAACCCAATCACTTGCAATCTGGCTTGTAAATGCAGGCCAAATTCGGGCTAATTTCATAGTTTCTAAATGGCGAACGGAGAAAATGTGTATTTCAGCATTTTATTTGGCAGCTTGCAATTAACTTCGAACATATTTGTTTCTTGGCTTATGGTCTAACGTTCACAAACTCTTGTATTGTTGGTCATTCACCTGCTGGCGTGAGCAACAGCCTATCGTAAAAAATCTAAAGTGTGCAAATCCCCTGGTGCGCAGCACTGTTTTTTGCATTTTACAATCTTTCCTTCTTTCACCGAATAGTTGGTGTGGACGAGCAAATCTCATGTTCCTTTATACACTGGGTCGCAAACGGCCTTGAACTTTATAGCTCTCAAACGTGCTAAAGTTATGTCATACCTAACACCCTCCGACACTGAATGTTTTATGTTGCTCGTGCTGTACTGGAAAAGCTCGAGCAACATTGCCCTGATGTGACTGGAAAAAATTTAAGGCAAAATTGCTTGCATCAGCTTATTTCGAGTGACGTTCAGCTCTGCACTAGGAAATTCAGGAAGTCAGAAGCGAAACTCATCTCGCGACTTCCTGTCCTTCCCTTCTTCCCGCTCTATCATCCATTGTGTGTTAGTATTTTTCTCCTATATTCTTTTATTTACAGCTTTTGCTTCCAAAATAAACTACAGCTTCATTGCAAATAAAACCGGGCAGACTAGGAAGCTATAATCGATAGGACCGAAAGCGGAACACATCTGCCAAACACCAGGCATTTTCGTGGACACCAACACAACGGACGACTCCGCTCGTGACAAATGACAGGCATTCTTGATGCACGGCCGCTTCACGTGAAATTCTTAACAACCTGTTAGCTAAATATCCCATCTTTTTAATGGAACTGCCAGGCGAAACAAAACACAGTGCAAGGAGAAACACATCTCTTCAGAACTTTTCCACCCACCGGAATTCGCATCAACCCAGTCCGGGATTTCATGTGGTTTTTGCAGACAAGGAAAAGCATTATTAGAAAATCACTCATTTGCCTCCGTTCTCGCTTATTCACTTCCTGAACAATCTCGCTTATTCACTTCCTGAACCGGTTTAACCCATATTTTGTAAGGAGTGAACCTAAGGGAATAAGGAAGGGAATTTTGTTTTTGGTAACACAGTGTGCAGTCATTATTTTGAGCTTCCAGACAGCGAACAATCTAAAAAAAATTTGCCGACATGTTAACTGAACATTGAAAATTCGACATTTCCTGAAAAAGTAGAAAAGAAAGAGGGATGGTCACCCACTGAAGATGCTACTGCCGCACAGGCAACAACAGATGGGAACAGCTGTTCTGGATGTTTGCACAACAGGACTCCTTCTGCAAAAAGCGTTTTGAAAAACACGCTCTAAGCGAAAACTGTAAACGTTTGCGTCTTCATTTCCATTCAGTTCCAGCCGTGCTCGAATTCGGGGAAATCCCTAAATGACAGGAAAGAAATTTTCCCTCACAACATCTACTGGTATTTTTAGCTTATACGAAACGGGAAACTTCTCCCGCAATATCGCTACTTGTCACTGATGTATATCGCTACTTCGAATATTCGGACTAATGTCCGGTTGGTATAGCTTCTTTTACAGCAGGGATACTGATGGCTCGAAGGTCCGTGCCACGATTAAGTGACCGGCTGCCGCTTCAATAACTCCTATTCCCCCCTTTTCGTGCACTTTCATTTCGCGCAACGTTTCATCGCAAGTCCTGTATCTATTATTAACCAATGACAAAAAGGCATCAGCAAATTTCGAAATGTTCGTTGCTGTGAATTCTGTTAGTCAGCGGAAAAACATAATTACGATTCATCTAACCTCGCACAATCGATTGTTCTCAAAACACTGTGATGACAACCCAATATGTCTTTCTGAGTACTATTAACAATTGTGCGGGAAGGAATGCGTTATGAATGCGATGAGGATTCAGTACAGCACGAATTGAAACGATGCAAGTGCACCCGTTGCAGCCGTCACTTTCATTCTGCGCCAGTATTTTTTTTTTTTTTGAATCTGTGACTCGCACTTTTTGAGTTACAGTAAAACGCACAAGGTATGAATTCAGTTACTACGCGCAGAGTGACCGTTATTTCTCAGAAGTGTTACTCATTACAAATTGCCACTTTCGGTGCAACTTCCGAATCCACCCGCACTATTCACTTGTCCTACTCCCAACAAGTACATGCAGTTTTGCCAAACTCTACCGAACTTTCGAAGAGCAAAGCTATAAGTGGACTGTCCTGCACGCAGAATGTGTTTAACGCGAAACCACATAAAACTGTAAAGTGACTGAACAATATGAGTGAAGCAGAGCCAAGCGGTCAAGGAGAATTCTCTGGTACCGATCCAGTAATGCTCCAAGCAGCGCGATAGTTAGAGGCATTTCTGAGGATACCAGTCGCTCAATGAGTTGTTAATTTGTTTTGATACAAAATGGTACTGGCATTTTCTCGCACTTTTGGAAGCCGATCTATTTCCTGTTTGTCAAATCGCTTTCTGATCAGTTCCCGAATTACAAATTCATCAACAACACTATCGATAATTAGCTAAAAAAGCTATAGCT